CTAGCCCATATATTCCTAAAGGTAGCATTTTTATCTTTTTTCCTTTACTATTGACTTGTAAATGTAGGTTCATCTTGGCTAAAGCCCTTTTGAATTCTGTCATTTTATAAGTGATCAAACAATCACCTTAGGTTGGAAAAATCTTTAATAATTATTGATGGATGGACTTTGAGCTGCTCCCTTAAGGGTGAGCCTGTTAAGATGGGTGGAGGAGAGTGAGAGAATATTCCAGAGTGGAGAAACAATTTCCACATTCTGCTCTCACTGGATTCTGATTATTTGTCGAGCATTATGCCAGGTGCTCTGAAACAAAACTACCTTATGTTCATTTCATGGGTCACAGATTCAAAGTCAACTTACTGCAATACAGGACATGCACACAAAGCATTGCCATACCAAAAGACCAGGGATCATAACTCAGCAAAGCCTTCTCAGAGAACGAGACATCCTAGCAGTGTATTGAAAGACAAGTGATTTCTCTTGGCACAGAGGATAGGTGAAGAGGCCGAAAGCAGAGGGAGCAACATGAGACTGCGCCTGGGGCCATGGTCGAAGAGAGAGTATAACCTGGCTCTGCAGAAACAAGCCTGGTGCCTGGAGCCCAGGAAGCCCTCAGCAGTCCTAAGAAGCTTCTGGTAGCAACTATGCCGCCTGTTGCCCAAGGATCTCAGCGGCATCTGGGCTGTTGTTGCTTTGGTTCATGAAGGCAATCCCTTCTGTCCTAGAAACTTTCTTGCTAGTCCCTCAGCATGCTCTGAACCTGCCAAGCTGGTCTGACAGGTAAGGTGCAGGTGGAATACTTGGGCTCATATATAAGCCCCTCCTCTGGCTTCTGCTCTCATTCCCACTGGAGAGAGTCTCTGGCATGTAAGAATAGAAGTGTGAAGGGAGTCAGGGACGATCTAAACCTTGAGGAAATAAATCGCACACTTATTTAATATAATTAGCTTTTAAGTAGAACATTTAGGTAAATAAAGGGACTATTGTTTGTGTTGAGAAGGAAAATGAAAAATTTTGAGAAAACTGCAATCATAATGAAATGAATGCATTTGTTTCTCTTTCCTTGTGTATTGTCTATATATTGCTGCATGACAGGTTATCCCAGAACTTAGCAACTTAAAACAATAGACATTGATTATCTGACACAGTTTCTGAGGGGCAAATATCTGGGGCAGCTTGGCTGGGTGGTTCTGCCTCAGACGTGTCATTAGGCTGCAATCAAGCTCTCATTTGGACTGCAGCCATGTGAAGTCCTGATGATCAGGTCAAGAAAATCTACTTCTTTTTTTTCTCCTTAAAAGCTATATTGGTGGGACCAGCAGTTAGCATAATGGCTATGTCGTTGGACTCCCATGTAGTCGACCACGGTTCGCGTCCCAGACCCAGTGACTTTAAAGCTCACGCCGGGTGCATGTGCGTGCGTGCCCAAGACCCTGAGAGGAGAATGGAGGAGAAGGGATTGCGGCGTGGCCATCCCGCCTAGGGGGTGATTTCTCACTTTCTGTCTCTCTCGGTCTGTCTGACTAGTGCACACGCCCTATAGCAAAAAACTCTCTCTCAAAAAAAAAGCTTATTTATATTTAATCATTGTACATCTTTATAGGGTATGATACTATTTTTCAAAGCATGCATGCAGCAGATATCAAGTAAGACAAAGATATTACCATATGTATCATTTTCTCTCTTTCTTTCTTTCCCTTTCTTTTTTTTAGAGAGATTTTTGCTATAGGGAACATGTGCTTGCCAGAGTGAGAGACACAATCCCTTCTCCATTCTCCCTCAGGATTTTGGGTATGCATGCACATGTGTGAGTTCTAAGCCACGGTGTCCAGGACTCAAACTATGGTCACCTATGTGGGAGTCCAGTGACGTAAACATGCCATCTGCTAGTCCACATATTTTCAACAGAGAACTTCAGATTCATGTGTCTGTTAAGTGTTTCTTTCCTGAGCCCCTTTACATCCATGCTCAATCATGTACCTGTTGGCAAGAGACTGCATTTTTCACCACATGCATCCCTCTGTAAGGCTGCTTGCAGCATGGTAGCTGGCTTCCCTTCAAGCAAGTGGGCCAAGAATAAGAGAGAAAGACAGAAGGAGAGAAAGAGAGCCCTAGATAGAAGTCACGGTGACTTTTACAACCTAATCTCAGTAGTGGCATGCCATCACTTCTGTCATATTCCATTGGTCCCAGAAACAACTATGGTACAATGTGAGAGGGAATTCATTTTCATACCGGTCACGAATACAAGGATACAGTGATCCTCAGCAGCTGCATTCGCTTTCTAGGGCTCCCGTCACCAATTATGAAGAAGTTGGAGGTTTAAAAAAACAGAAATTTATTCTCTCATAGTTCAGGAGACCGGAAGTCTGAAATGAAGGTGTCAGCAGGGCCATGCTCCCTCTGAAGACTCAAGGAAGAGTCCTGTGCCTCTTCCAGCTTCTGGAAGGTTTTACAATCCTTGGTGTTCCTTGGCTGTGGCAGCCTAACTCCAGTATCTACCTCTGTCTTCACACGATTTTCTTCCCTGTGCTATCTCCTTTTCTGTGCCCTTTTCAGTTCTTACAAGGACACCAGTCATATTGGACTTGGGTCTAAACTTAGCCCGGTTGTCCCTATCATAACGAATTACATCTGAAAAGGCTCCACCTCCACATAAGATCATAATCTGAAGTTTCAAAAAGGACCTGAATTTGGGGCAGTGGGGTTGGGGGAAACTGTTCAACTAGTACAGGAACCCCTTTGAAAGCTGGTTCTCACATCTTGAAATCCCCAGGAATACAGACACTCCAGGTCAAAATGTACGATTTTTTTTAAATTGTCAGAAATGCGTGCATTCATCAGGGAGAGACAGAGAATGAGAGAGGAAGAAAGCACTCCCAACAGGACATGGTCACGTGACAATACTTTTTCCTCCATTTCTCCATCCCATCAGCATTTTGGGGGAAGGGATGCATGTTTGTGCCTGCACACGCACATGCATGCACACATATGTGCACGTGTATGTGTGCACGCACACACACACACACACACACACTCACCCAGCATATTTTTCAAGCTGCCAGGGCCAGGATGAGAACCCAAATCAGCCATGTCAGATCTGGCTCCCCGTGCCCAGGGCTCAATGTGTTGCACTCGAGGACTGGTTTTTGTTTTGTCAGTTTTTTGGTTTGTTTTTGTTTTGTAAACTTATTTCCCAGGAGATTATAGCAACGTAAACCCATTACATCCTCTTTCTCAGTGGTGTTGCTGGGGTCTGTTTCCTGGTCCCTGCTCCTATCACTCAGGGCAGCAGAGCTCAGTTTCATGTGAATTTCCCTCCAGGGAAGTGAAGGCTCAGAACAATCCGAACGATGTCTGTTCTGCTTACTTCAAGATGAATTTATTTTCTTATGACTGCACAAATAATCCATCCTTATTGTAGAAATTTAGGAAATACAGATAAATAAAAAAAGGAAAAGAAAAATCACCAATATTACCACCACCCTGACATTGATTCAATTTACATAAACTCTTACAGACTTTTTTCTATGCAGAAATATATAGATGGGTATGTTTTAAATTAAAATTATGTTATTTTCTACTTATTAACTTACTTATTTCACTTAATATAGTCAGACCTCTGTATCCTCAGGTTCTACATGTTATTACTCCCTAAACAACACAGTATAACAACTATTTATCTAGCATTTCCATTGTACTAGGTATTATAAGTAATCTAGAGATTATTTAAAATATAAGGGAGGGTATGCATAGGTTCTATGCTAGTATCACACTATTTTAAATAAGGACATTGAGCATCTGTGGATTTTGGTATTCTGGAACCAATACTCCATTGATAATGAAGGATGTCTATATATTAAGAGCACCTTTCTATATGAATAGAGACCAGTTTCCATTTTTTAAATTATACCTTGGGTTTCAAAAAGGGATTACGTCCCTGTTTATCTTCTGTCTTCTGAGCTGGAGACATTTTCTTTACACCACCACCCTATCACATTCACTGCTAGAAGACAAGGGTAGACATGGAAAAGGGAGCAAATGATGGCAGCAGGTCCAAAAAGAAAG